CGGACGAAGTCGTTGTGGGAGGAACTTTTCGGGGAGCTGGGCCAACGTAACTTAACAAAACAGGAAGGAGTAACAGCCCGTGAAGAGCACCCAGTATTACAATGCCAACATACATACGGAAGTAGAAAACCTGAAAAAATATAAGTAAATAAAAAGGAGAACTGATTTAATTCAATTCAACATTAAAATGTACCATTCACGATTGAGACATCTCGCAGTAACATCGAGGTTATGCACTGATCAATATTGAGAATTACACGTCAAATAGTGCCACGAAGATGAACGCAAGGGAACGTATGAATATTGGCAATGTATACGTATGGACACCAACAAAAAAGATCTAAAGCAGCTTTTTTAAAAAAGGCAGAGAGAAGAAATACAGATGTTGCAAACATGTTAGGTCAACGCAACTCATACACACTTTTACCTAGCTAATCGAGGAAAATCCTCTACAAAATTAAAACGTGGCAGTGAAACGCTGTAAGATTATCGATTCTAGAGAATACACGTAAAAAATCTTATTGGGACCTGGGGAATACGAGTTTCAATCTTGTTCAACACTCCTTTAATTTTTAGAGCTTTGATCATAAATCTTTTATTCCTAAGTTAACACATTTGTGGAGTAAACTTTCTTTAAATAACAAACACTCTTGTACTTTGAGTAATAAGAAGGTAAGAAGTCATGTTCATTTACCCTTTTCTAGTTAAAAAACCAGCTGTAAATTAAATAATTAACTCTCGTAGGGATTTCAGTGTCATATTATCGGTCGATTTAGAATGTTCAAAATTCACCAATACTTACTTGGGATGGTAAATGTTCTAAGTATTACAAACTGCTTGCGTGGGTGGAAAAACATTAAAAGTTGTTATAAACTTAGCATTTGAGAAGGAGTGCGAGGTCGATTAGTGAGAAAATCGAGCTCGCATCATGAAGTCCTAGTTTCGAATATGCTTTGAGCACCAACTGGATTTGTTTTTCAGTAGTCACGTGTTTTACTTCTCAACTACGCTTGTAAAAAGCCAACTGCTTTACCTTCATGCCAGTGGAGGTTATAAAAAACGGTGATACGCTTGATAAATATTATTTTTACACTATTTAATAAGGGGCTCTTTAATGATGGGTTAATCTGTGTTCCTACTTCTGTTAGTAAGAGAAAGCTTTAAAAAAAGTATCAAGACTTTCAAATTTCTAAATGTGTCTCTAATGTGGTTGTTACAAGTTCAGTCAGCTCCCATGCTGTTTCGTTTGAACTTTTTGCTGTATTTTTTGGTTTTGATTTGATTTTTTCGCTCTTTAGTTCGTTTTAATTGGCTGATCTATTGAAATTTATTGTCAAGCATTTTCTTCACCAGCCCCTTGCTCGGATACAACAGGTATCCCCATCCTGATCCTTAGTAGTTTAACTTTTAGCCGCCATTTACTGTAGGAGGGTGTTTTATCGTTACATTCCTCAGTAGCGTCAGGGCATCCTCACTTTCAAAACGAGGCCACACGCAAAAACTAACAATGAAGATGTTCTAGTTGAAGTTGAGGGATTGAAGTTGAGGGATTGAGCATGTAGGGAAGAGCTTATTATGTCATTCACGCGAAAGACATCGCAAGAGTTTTATTCGCGAGATACAAGAAATGCTCACCTGAAATATTTGAGACTTAGAAAAGTAAAGCACTAAGATCCCAGAAAACTTTGTTAACGTAATTCCACTCAAAACCTGTACAAAAAAAAAAAAAAGCCAAGGCAAAGTAAGGTAAGTGCTGGTTATTTTAAAATTACATTTCAATATACGATAATATATACAATTCACGTGCAAGCTGCCAAATCTCCAAGGCCTGGTCACTAAGGCTGGCAGCCAAAAAACCAAAGGTGACTGTCAAGAGGAATCCTGGTTTGCATTGCTCTTGCTTAACTACGCCCTGTGATTGGTCAGTAGGATACTCGCTAAACTCTCTCAACCAATCGGATGCTAAATATAACCCCGTTACGACTTGGTCAGCTAAATGTTTCCAGGCATTTTCGGTACACGTCATTTTTTTCTTTTGAGAGCGTTTAGGACAGTTACCCATGATTTAACAACAAACTGTGTTAAGCACAATGTGCATACTGTACGTGCATCGATAAAAATGGCCTGTTACAAATTAAGAAATGGGGAAATAACGGGTAATCGTCTGAAGGACATAAAGTTGCTCAACAGGAAACTAGGCCGTGAAGAATAGGCATAGCTGTTTTACTTTGCAAGTTGCATTCTACAGCTACAAAGCTATCTGCATAATTATGTATACTATGGTCTGATTATTTAAACAAAATTGAGCCATTGTTTTGTAAAAAACGCGTCCCAATTAATTTTCAATTTAGCTGAACCTTTTATTTGAACATTTATCCTTTGTGAACAGTGTTAAGAGCGCCTATAGCTGACAGAGGGAAGACATTTATTTGATTAAATAACCCTCTTCTATAGAAAGCCTGAGGCGCACTGATTGCGTAAAACCATGATTTAGGATAGACCTTGTGTATTCAACCGGCTCTGTGTTTAGGTTGGCTTAAATGAAGATGTTGTTAAGTTATGCAAACCATAACTGACTTACTGAGCTGCCCATTTTTGCTAGAGCTTCTTTGGCTCTTTCTACTCTTGATGGTTGTGCATTGACGGTAAAAGCCCGCGCAATGTGGGAGCAGAACTCTACTGAAATACCAACAGCCTGCGAGGAAAACATAATTGTCTGGGTTATCATATAAGTTGTGAGAGACTATGGTTTGTCATCCAGTATATGGTAAAACAAAACACACTTCGTCCAAACAAAACTAACTATCACCGAGATGGTCTGATATCAAGAATTTTTATTTTTGGGTTTTATCACTGCTTCACTACTTCACTTTTGAGCAAAGTACAAGTATCACATCAACTAACAATAGGACCTTGCATATTCGTAATAATGCCTCCTAATATCACAGATACCGTATTTTTAGCCCAAACCGTCAAGTCACAGCGAGATAGAATGCGTATTCCTTTTGAAATTAATGCAATGCTTCTGTAGATTTGTACCAACGTTGCAATTTATCTTCGTAAATTTTCCGTGAAAACCTTTCTTTCAATAATTTTCGTTTTAAGTTTTGCGCGGGTATTGGCATGCGTCTGGCTGACATTGGCCCATTTGCGCACGTCTAACGTTTAACCGCTGTATTTAAACATTAACCCCCAGATCATCATACATACCATTACAAGATTGACAAGCGAGACGGCATTTAGAGAAATGTTCCATATGTACATCAGACCCATCAAATTGACAATGATGATAGCCACTGTAAAGGTTACTATCAACGCTATGCTCAAATTGAATCCCAAGAGAAGGAAGGTCACCACAAAGATGGCAGCTAAAAGAAAGAATGACAAATGTAATATTCTAGTGGTGTTGGTATCTGGCTAAGCACAGGTTCTTTTTGTAAAACCCCTAGTTTCAGGGTGCACATGTTAAGATTATGTCAGAATGCGTATACTAGAAGACTGACTGACTCATCCTAAATAAATTTTTCCATTGAATGTCTCGTTTGACTGTAGTCAGAATCAACACTTTATTGGTCCAAAAAACCTCACACCACTCTCTTAACCATCAGATACAAAACTTAAACCAATCACGACTTGGTTACCCGCGTTTTCCCACGCTTTAGGCAGTTTGCTTTACAGTTTTGCGTTATTATAATATCAATGTGATAAGAATACATGAAAGTCATATATCTTCATTTGCTTAAAATATAATATCAATATTTGACGGCATCAAGTGGCGTGTAGAATTAACATGATCACTTAACGTTATCTGCAGTTAAGAACCTCCTGGAATAACAATCATATTGCTCGAGGTTTTCGTGGAAAATCAATTCAAATTTACTTTCAAATGGCGACTTAGGATTTGCCCAAATCTTACTTTTTAAATAAACTGACCTGCACAATACAAAAGATTTTCCCAAGTGTCATTCGCAACCGTAAGGTATTGTTCGTAGAAAACGTAGAATACACTGAAATAAAGGTAAATAAATAAACAGTTTATAAATTCATTTGCGTGTTAAGACAGGCTGGCCCAGTTCAGCTTTAAGACTGGTTTAAATGTGGGTCTGTATAACTAACAAGTACACACTACAACACCGGGAGATATATTCCCTACTCTTTGCGATAAGCGCGTGGGTTCTTTAGCGTCCCATGCTAAGCAGTACAAAGAAGATACAAGCGACAATATCCTATGGAATAGGGGCAATATCCTAGGAAGGTGTTGTTTGGTCTCGTCAAGCCGCGGAAATTATTGATTAACAACGTCTCAGATGCAGCATTTATACAAGGGACGGCTTTCATGCTCGGCTATGTTTAGCCCGTAAAAAGTGGGATAAGTATTGGTGAATCATTCCTCTATACTTAACTTCCTTAAACCCTCCCAATAAACGCCACAAGCTTCTGTTTAAGAGTAGCTTTCATTCTTTCTGAAATTTTGCTCCCATTCGCAGCGATTAATCTGGGGCGGTGTTTCATCAAATTTATGATATTTAAACTGGGCCCTTTCTACTTGGTGTATTTTCTCACCTGTATGGGAACACTTCCACGCCAAGTGTCTTCGAGATGTTTTTCGCAATTTCACGAGCGCTCTTCAAAGCTGCTGTGTACTCTGGTGAAGTTTTAAGGATTTTGTGGTAGGACATAAAGTAAGAGGCTGGAAAAAAAAACAAGGAAAGAACATATCGATAATTGATCCGTAGTTCACTTTTGGTTTTTTTTTTTAATTTTTATTTTATTATATTAATTTTTTTTCATTTTGGAAGCTTATGGTTTCCGCGGGCTCGAGCCTCCGAACATAAAATTTTTTTCCATGTGCTTCTGGATGATGAAGAAGTTCTAGTGTCTAATGTAAAATTGTGGTTACTCTTGAAATGGAGTACATCGTTAAATTTCATTCGCAAAGCACTTCCATTCAGACGATTCTTTCAAGATTTCGAAAACTTCACTGTGGCAGTAGTTAACAACGTCTTGTCACAGCTACATCGAATTACCAAATATCGAAATTGCCCAGATCATCTGAATTTACGTGAATTCCTTTTCCCTAATACTATGAAAAGAAATTCTGTCCTTATATCATTTTTTTAAGACAAAAGTCGATCGTTAATGTCATAGTGTGATCATTTATTTACCACCGATCAATCTTCCGATTCTTACCAGCTTAAAATGGCCAAGCAAATAACGCTCACTGTATGAATAATTCACTATCAGAAGCAACATCAGTTCATTTTTACCCAAAAAGGCGAGGAGAAGGCACAGCAGTATCAACGAGGAGATTATGTGTTATTAAACCCCAAATTCTCAGAGGTAAAATTGTAAGAATTAAACAGCAAACCGCGAGGAGAATTGATCTTTAGATCTAACGAACCTTTGCCTCTCTTTTTGTTGTCATGTGGGTATATTCTTTTAATTTCAGTGTTTTGGTTCAACTTTCCTCTTTCCTCTTAAAAATTAACCAATCTGCCAGCAAGGCTTGGGAGTGAAATAGTGTATTCTGACGCAAGAATTACCACAAAACATACAGATATACAATGCATACTCACCTTGAATAGGGTACTTATCACTTTTGTCACCAAACAGGAGAGCGTCGCCATATGCTGCATGACCACTGGAAAGGAAATACAACAGTGCATATCAGGTAAAAGTTTACCGCATAGTTATTTATGCTTTGTTTTATGGCAAAATATTTTTTTCTGAGGGGGGGAGGGGAGTCTTACTGGTGAGAATAGATCTCTCTAAATATGATCAAGGGATAATTTTTTTTCAAAATTCGAGGGGCTACAGAACCAGACGTAATTCGTACAATTTTCTTTTCAACCAACAGATAAATAACATAATAGGAAACGCCAGTAACTTTTCCTAATGTGGTGCCTTAGTTTAAAGCCCAAGAAGACTAACGTAACTAGAATTTTAAACACAAAGGCACCTCTTCCCTTTTCCTACCCCACCACCCCCTGGAGTTTCTTCAATTCTTCGACCAACTGAGATACATCGTGCAATTGGTGAAGTTTAACTGTTTTAGCTAGTTTGACTATTTAACCAGTTGAACCAACTGGATGCTCAAATGTCAGCTTTGAAGCATTTTATGATGGCCAATTTACATTATCGCCTCAGATGACAATACTAGATTACACTACATGTACAGCAGATTTCTTCTTCAATGGCTGCCAGCAACCTTGGTGCCATTTACATCATTTTAAGGTGAGCTTGAATTCCTTACCCTTTGGTGCATTTTGTCTCTGGGTTGTCCTTGAGATAAAATGGCAGGAACTTATCAAACTGCTTTGGGGTTGGTCTCTGACCCTTTTGGCTTAAATTCAGGCATGGTTTGCACAGGTCATCATCAACTAAAAAAAAAAAAAAGAACAGGCACAGAAAGACAGTAAGAAATTAAACTCATAATATATGAAATTTACCTTTCAACCCCTCAGAGTGACTTGCATCTAATTTCTCCTTACAATATCACCCCTAAGTCACACATTAAGGTCATGAGAATAAAGGATATGATCACCAACTAAAGAAGCTCTTGATTGTTAAACAAATTCTCCTCTTCAGCACCTTAGGAAATGTACAGAGAACAATATGGAGAATATACACACTGATGTTAGGGTGTAAAGGGTTGAGAAAGACTGGTGCTGAATGTTTATGTTCACCCATTACACCCTAACATCAGTATGCATATTCTCCATACTGTTTTCTATACATTTACTCTAATGCTGACCAGGAGAATTTGTTAATCAATCAAGAGAATATTTAGTCAGTAATCATTTCCTTTCCACTTTCATGAGTAAATGGCTCAGAAGAAAAGGTTTACAACATCTGGGTTTTTAAAGCTTGCTAAATATGCAAGAAGTCATGGTTACTGATTTTGCCTCTTATAAAACACGGACCATTCAATCTGGCACTTGGTTGGGCATTTTAGAACACAAACTTGGCTCAGCAGGGCAGGGATTTGAACAGACCAACCTTTAAAAGCTCAAATGGCAGAGGGGGAGGGGGTAGGGCGAAGGGGTAGTTGGCATTCCTGAAAAACTTGTGGGTGGAGAGAGGGGCATTGTCAGAGGTAAAAGCGTTTTTCCTGAGAACTGGAGAGTGGAATAAATTTACTTCAGCCTTACAGGCCACATCACTTACATGTAAACCAACCTAACCTTTGATGTCTGCAGGAAAGCAAGCACTCACCTGTTGCATTACAGAAGACGTAAGGCACTACAGGTGTTGTTTCATTATAGCAGATGACAGCAGGTGCTGGAGTTGTTGTGTTAGTTGAGTTAGGTGGCATTACTGTTGTGTGGAAACATGTCTCGTTCCTTTTGTACTTAATACGACAACACGAGTTCTCCCTGTTAGGTTCAATCCAGCTGAAATAGTCATCTAACCAAGAAGATGCTGACATAGCTATCTTGGATCTGGTTAAAGAATAATAATAATAATGATAATAATAATAATAATCATCATCATAATAATAATAATCATATTAACAATAATGAGAAAACGGATTCCAACTGATTCCTTTATGAACATACTGTGGAACTCAGAAAATGCCAGAAAGAAAAAAAAAAAAAAGCTGAAGACTGATTGTGTCCTGGAAAACAACAATAATCTCAACTGCATGCAGTAACAATAATTTGTCTGTAACTTCCAGTATATGGTTGAACATGTACATCTACACATGTGTATACACTACACATGGTTGCAAAAGAACTAACCCCACAGTTCCCCATATCAACTGCATTCTGATCATAATCAGCACTACTAAGGACTGCGAGAAATCTTAAAGAACTTACTCTTCAGGGATCAGTGAAGCACTGTAGATTTGTTGTACTAAAGAAGAGGAATCACAGCCTGCCGAGCCACAAATCTTGTTTTGTCCTGAGGGATGTTCATAATCATAGCCTCCATTAACCACAAAATACACAGGTGGACCAACATGTAGATATTCTTTCATGTCACCGAACCAGTTCAAGAGGTAAGAATCCTATGAGGGAAAAGAAACATACACTGTACCTTTTTAACCATTTAACTCTTAATTTCTGATTGTTAGAGTTCCTACTTTGAGCTGCTCTAAATTTCCTTTTAAATTAGTTACAAGAATTTGGTGTGAGATCAGAATTCAAACTTCTACCTTTTAAGTTTGAGTTTTCTCATTACCTGTTTGCTGGAGAATGTATGGATATTATAGGGAGAAGTTACCTGTTAATCACTTCAAAATTATCCACAGAAAGTGGACACCGGAAACTTTTGCTATTTCATAGTGGAAATGCCATTTTGATTAAAGTCAGACACTAAATTTTCTCCTCAGGTCAAGACCTGCTCCTTGTCAAAAGCAAAAAGAAAAAAAAAAAAAAAAAGAAAAAGAAAAATCATTTTTGTCCATTACCTTGGGCAGTGCAAGTTCTTGATCAAGGCCAATGTCTAAGTGAGGGATAGCTGCAATGCTTGCAAACAGAAGACCAGTGAAGAGGGCAATCTTTACAAGCAAATAATGAAAAAAAAAAAAGTCTAAGTTTGACATACATGGTATAAGTCACATTGACAATAGTGCACAATCATCAGTATACAATTAATGTCGCAGTAACAGAAGAAAAGAAACTACAATACTACTTGTGGATACTGCAGCACCCTCACACAACACCAAGCATGTGTAATTACTTACATAACGTGAAGTTATACACACGCATGTAATCAAATGAATGTATTTCAATTTGGTCTTAGTCATTTGCTACAATTGCAGATGTGTGTGTACTCTTACACATGAATGCCATCAC